TCCGGGTGAGGGGGATGTGGAGGCGGCGGGTGCGAACCCTGGCTGGGGTGCGGAGACCTCGGGCGGGAATTCAGGGAGGGGAGATCCCCGAGCCACCTCCACGGACCCCGCCCCGGAGCAGCTCACGTCGGTTCCGGGGCGGACTACCCCTCTCCAAACGGCGCGGCACTGCGGCTCTCGGGAGTCTGGAGAGGGGGGAGGGGTCTGAGGCCATGGGTCCAGAAACCGTTACTGGGAAGGCAAGTGGGATGCGGCAGCGCCGGGCTGGGTGGGGCCGGGATGGTCGAACCCAAGACCCGCGTGGGAGTTGGAGGGCGCAGGCTGGTGCCCTGGGCTCGCTGGAGCCGGCTGAGCAGGGGTCAGGAAAAGGTGCGCGAGCCCTGGGCACTGTAACCGCCGCTGCCCGGCGACTGCTCCCAGCCCTCTCAGAACCTTGTCCCTCAAGGGCACTCTCACGGATCCACCAGAGCCCTAAAGACCGAAGCCTCTGGAACCTATAGCCTCCCTCTGTCCGTCTCGCCCCTGAATCTTCCCCGCATCCTCCTCGCCCCCTCCCTCCTGCAGTGAGTATCCGGCTTATTTGTAAATATCTTGGTGACTTTGTCACACTATCTTGGGTCATTTCCTGAAATGGTTCCTCCCAGTGAACCCTGGTGCCACGTTGTGTGGCGGGTGATCACTTTCATCCTTGCCCTTTTATAAAGGGCTCGAATGACACCTCTCCTCCCGGAGAAGTGGCTGTGTCCTCGGGTCGTGACTTTAAGCACCCAAAGGCAGTTCTCCGTACCTCCACTCCGCAAAACCTCTCTGGGACTGCTCTTTGGGCAGGGCAAATTTCCCCTGTTCTTTTCTGAAAATAAACTGCCATACCTGCAGGGAGCTGGACGGAAAAGAGTGCACATGCAGAGTGGTTTCCAAATCCGTTCAGTGTAAACTCACGAAGCACTGGATTTATATAGTGCAATGTGTCTATCCAAATCAATGGTGATTTTCACTATTCTAACAATTTAACATCTTTGGCACAATTGACTCTCTCTGGGCAGGCATTTTGGGCTGCATTTCATAGCTGAAGACCCAGGATCAGATAAGCAAAGTAACTTGTTCAAGGTCACCGGACTATTAACAAAGAACTTTTGAGCTCCCTGACTTCAGGTTTTCAGGCTCAAACACCCAATGATTTTTTTTTTTTTTTCCAATCCTCTAGCATGTCTCCTAAAACAGTATGTTTGATGGTGCTGACTCCCATTAATAGATGCTCTGAAACGACTGAGGTAAACTACCAGCTTAAATTAATTTGTCCATTACACATTTTAGCAGTAAAAAGTATATATGGTTAAAAAAAAAAAAAAGAACAGTCCCAGCTCTTTTGACATAAACTGGCTTGACTGCAAAGCAGAGAAAGAAGGTAGTAAAAAAGAGTTCAGAAATGCTTTGTCACACACAAATGGTCCTGCATGAAATAGTTCCCAGGAATGTCCTCTAACACTTAGCCCTCCTCAGACTAGCTTATTTTTGGTAGTGGAGTGGCAGGCATATTTTCAAAATAATAATCCCTGAATGCTCTCAGAACTTATCACGTTGAAGAAATGTGGTTGTAAGATATGCTTTCATTTTCAGTCTGCACCTGTCAAACTGCCATTGCTACATTTGTATACTGCCACAGTCTTATGGTTCTCAGAAGCCTTGATCCTAAGTTACTGAATTAAAAGCTATCTGAATTGTCTTTTAAAAAACCCCTAAATAATTCAATTTATAACAACTAAATTTCTACCCAGTGTGATAAAGTCCGTTATTATTTGAAGGACAGCATAAAAGCTGTGGATTCTGTATAAAAACAATGTGGAACGATTCAGACAGCAGAGTAGCATGGATAAAGGAGGAAAGAGCCACAGTGCTAGATGTCCTCTTGGTTGATTGTTTCTGAAAAATAATTTCAGTAAGACAAAATTAACTTTCACTGATACAGTGAGCAGCCACATAAGAACATTATTTTTTCCAGTTTTCATGACCTCCAAAGCTGACCCTTCCCTGAAAAAGGGAAACGTATTTATTCGTGATCCTTCTTCAGTTAACTCAGTGAATCTTAAATGGATCAAGGAAAAAAGACCTTCGTAACTTTGAAGCATTCTCTGCTGTAAAAATATAGAACATTGGGGAACACAGAAAGGATGAACCACTCTAGTTGCTGGCATCCAAGTGAAAGAGATGACAGAGACACAGACATCTGATAACATCAGGGCACCAGCAGCCACTGACAGGCATCCAGTAGCCAAAATGCATCTACCAACTGAAAAATGAATGAGGGGAGAGGCAATTCCATCAATTTGAGCAAATACTGAAAGGCACATCCAACCTGCTTCAACCTATATAGAGAAGAAAGCTATAAATAACATAACAAATGCTTGAAGGCTCCCTTATGTCTCCCTCCCCTCATGCACAGGCGGAGTGAAATGTACCCTTCACCAAAACAGGTCTTTATTATGAAGTTGCAGACCCTTTAGATACCAGGAGTTTCTTGAGCTGAATCCAAGAATGAAGGAGAGATTAGGAGGGGACCAGGCAAGTATGTCCCAAAAAGTTACTTGGTGATATTAGTGGATATCTTTAGGAATTCTTCTTGAACTTCCCTTGTTACCACATCCTGAATCTGTCATCTCGGGTCACTTTAGGAATTTTAGATAGAAAACAATTCAGGCTACACCTAGGTCAGAATGGTTTCAGAATGACCTTGAAGCTAGATTATGTGTGATGACCTTGAAATGCCCTTCAATAGGAGGGTTAGCCATAGGAGAGTTAGCCTGGAGAGCACTTCAGAATTGCTTTTCAATTCTTTTAAGTTAAATTCTTCAAGCTGTTCCACAGTTGTACCCTTGGCACCTTTGGGGTGCACTAATTTGTTTTGGGGGGGTTAGCTTTTCTTTCCTTCAAATTCCTTCTGTAGTTTGTTTTTTTTTTTTTTTTTTGATAGAGACACAGCGAGAGCAGGAACACAAGCAGGGGGAGTGGGAGAGGGAGAAACAGGCTTCCCACTGAACAGGGAGCCCCATGTGGGACTCGATCCCAGGACCCTGGAATCATGACCGGAGCCGAAGGCAGACGCTTAATGACTGAGCCACCCAGGCGCCCTCCTTCTGTAGTTTTTATTTATGCCATAAATCCTGACATTTAGTTTAAGATAGTCTTGCATTTTCACAAAATTATTTAATGGAGACATTTTTTTCTTTCCCAAACTGATGACAAATGTTTTTTAAGCTATAGACTATGCCGTATTTGTAAATATAAATTCATAGCAAATATTCATTGTAATAAATAAATAATTTAGTGATTAAAAGAGGAATAAATATATGCAGGGACACATGGTAGTGGTTACATATTTTTGAAAAATGTTTCAGAGAATATTTACTTGGATGGAGTGCACTAATTTGTCTCTGTGGTCACTGAGTACAATACACAGAATTCTCAATTGCTTTCAAATATCTAAGAGAAAAGAACTCTATGTTATAGAGCAATTAGGTTATGCTGTATGGGCGGGAGGGTGATTTTTTTAAAGAGGATAGTGAAGTGCAATTTGTGTATTGTGAGTATTCAATGCAGAGTGTAGCTTTGTTGTCCATCAGTACTAAAACAGTGTCAGTATCCTACAACACAATGATGTGTGCAGAGCAGTCTACAATTTATATCTCCTAGTCTAACCTCTCCATTGAACTTCAGACTCACGAATCAAAGCGTCTTCTTGACTGCTCTACTTAGATGCCAAAGAGTCATTTCAAACTAACCCAGTCCAAAAGCAAACAACATCCCAAACCTGCTCATTTCCCAATCTTCATTATGCTAGTAAGCTAGTCATTTGTTCATCCAGTTACTTAAGCCAAAATCCTTGGAGTCATCCTTGACTTTAATTTTTCACATCATACATTCAGTGTATCAAAAAATTTCTTTCAGATGTACTTTCAAAATATACTCCAAATTTTACTACTACTTTTCACCACCCCACCATCCCAATTCGAACTACCATCATGGTGCTCCAGGAAGATCAAAGTAGCCTCTCATCACCCTGCTTCTTACTCTTGAATCCATCCTCTCTAGCAGCCAGGATGATCCAATTCAAATGTAAGCCCACCCCTACCCAGTACCCACCAATGGCTTCC